TGTTCTTCAGAAAACTGAAGATTCTTGTTGTACAAATCTTTGGAGAACACATATATGATCTCTATAGGGGACAAATGAAGATCATTTTTTTTGTTTTTTGAAGAACACAGATTTTTAACAGTGTATGGATGGATGAAATTGGAATCCAGACGCCTTCGTAAGACATCGTGACCTATCTTCTACATGGAAATATTTTCTTACTGGCCAAAAATGAGGTTGCCTTTAAAACACTCACGCCCTTTTTTTAAAAAAAACGCCTCTTTTTTCGCAGTGTATCTTTTAATTTTTTAGCTTTTAAAAACACCACTATCGTTTTCTGACACGTGCGAATCTTATTTCCTTGCAACTCACTATTTAACACCGGTATTCTATTTCCTATTAAAAAGCTTTTTCGATAATGATATTCTTTCTTTTTTTTTCTCTACATCTTTGAAGTTGAAAATTTAGAGTAACAGGAGGGCTGTTATTATAATCAACGATGAAAATTGAGTTTCCATTGAGTGAATAAACAAAAATGCAAACGGTGGTTCAGAATAGTATATATTATTGCTATGTTATTCGTCATGCGCATCTCATTTAGAAAAATTAAAATTTTATCTTCAATAACGAAACCTGTGCTATTGAGTGAAGTGAGATATAATAATATAATGTTTCAAAGAGCAAAAAAATATTAGTATTGAAATCTCATCATTATCTTGTGGCTTTATCTGTATACTTGCTCTCGATGGAATAAAGTATTATTTTAATGCGTCGTCAAAATTAGTCAAATATCTTAAGGAAAAACTTTTCTTTTTTTCTCTCTATGTACTTCAAACAATATTAAAACTGACATAAAGGGAGCGTTCAACGCGTTATACAGTAACAGGATATATGTTGTTTCTTAAAACTCTTAATCTATTTATTGATTATTCATGATTACTATCATTAATTGGTAACAAATCGGATTGATGAAAGAAATACAAATGAACTAATATCTACTAAAAGAGCTACCTGATGATTTATTTTTCTGGGAGAATTTCCTTCCATTCGTGATTACGTTAGTTATGCATTAGTTTCGATTTATTATTGCCACCTGTATGATTGATAGCAATAGTATAATTCATTTCCTTGAGTATTAATTACATGGTTAATTAATTATATGGCTAAGTCTCTCATTCAGATAATTGAAGTTATTTCACGGATTTGGTAAGGTTCATCAAACACTTTTTCCATGAAATATGCTTTCCCCAATTATTATGATTAAGCAAGTTGTATGGTCCGCTCTAGAATAATCATTTTGACAAGCACACGCATAAATGTAACTGTTACCTACGTGCCTAAATCATATAATTTTTCATATCCTTTAGCAATTCCGAAACAGCGTTCTCCTTATCCTAATAAAATCTATACAATTTTCAGTTGATTATTCCTTTGTTGTGTCATTATTAAGACTGGTTACCGAGCCCAAGCAGAGCTGGGCAAGTCAAGTCAAGTCATTTTTGACTTGACTTGACTTTGGAAGTTTTTGATGACTCATGACTTGACTTGGCTCTTGTAAATTATATAAATATGCAAAGAAAGGTCATGTAGAGCTGGGAGATGTCTCATTTTAATCAGAAATGTGTGGGCTACAATCATGTCTCATTAAAAATAGGTCTGAGTTATTTTTCAGAGGTTCTGAAAAACTGGTTTTCCAGAAAACCGGGTCTTCAAGAGTCATCGGCACGAATCGTTTTAGGGTATTTACTACCTCACTGAGATCTATCGATCCATGTACAAATCATTGGAATCGGAAGGTTACACCTCGAAAGGTTCCCCGTAAGTGCTCGTGCTACGTGTGTATTATTTACGTGTGATTTGTTTTTGAACTATGTTAGACTCATTAGAGCATTGTCTTTTTTTATGATTATCTTTTGAAATACATCGTTTTTGGAAATACGAAAAACAAACATCGTATCTAAACAAAATGCCGAAGCTCCATGAAAACTTGTCACCTGCCCAGCTTCGCTGTGGGCATTTTTCTACAGAAAATAAAAATTTCAAGTCATGACTTGTGACTTGACTTGACTTGACTTGAGAAAATTTTTTATTACGCATGGCTTGACTTGACTTGTGACTTGAAAAACCCGTGACTTGCCCAGCTCTGAACCCAAGCAACGCGATGTGATCGCAATATAGTCGCATAGCTTCCACTGTGGTTCCTAATAAGCCGTGATTATCTCAGCGTGGTAGAACTGAATTTTTATATTTCAAAAACTCGTTATACAGGATTGCGCCCCGAGTTTTTTCTTACAGCAATTGCGCTCGAATCATGGAGTCATGGCATAACTTTCTATACATGCAAAACGTGTAACTCTGCTACCGGAATCTCTGTGCGTTACCGTTTTTTCTCTTTTCGTCTATCCTATAATATTCGGAAAGAATTTAGCTACTACAATAAATATACCATTCGATAGAGAATTTGTTGAGCTACAATATGATATATATAATATAGAGAACATAGTATCCTAGGGTACCTTGACATTAGAAATGCTTCTGCAAAGCTAGAATTCTGCTGGAAAGTCTAAATTTTCTTCATTAAAAGTCAACTTTTATGCAATAAAAATATCGTATTCGGAATCAGGATCAAAAACTGAGTCGAGTGATGCGTATTTCGAAACTTTTACTTGATTTTCATTTTTGGTGAAAATCTCGGTAATTTTTCAACATGAAAATTCGACAAAAAGTAAAGTGGTCGGATAGGATGGAAAATCTACTACAAATGTCTCATGCACGAAAGAAGAACCGCTAAACCGATCGGTTCTCGTTCGATCACACGGCTGAAGCTGCGCTTTGGGCAGTTCTGAACTTTTTTCCTTCGATTTTAGGCGGGTCTCAACCTCTTAACTGGCGATCTTCAGCAGTTAGATTTTTTCCTAACACGGTTACCGCCGGTTTGAACATTTGGAATTTTTACTTATCAAAAACAGGAAACAGTTATCGGCGGTTGTCGCAAGAATAAAAAAATGATAAATTTTTTTTCACATTTTCTCTTTGAACAGTGCGAGTCTGTTGTTCAAAGCAGAATGTTCAAAACGAATCGCGGCTACAACGGTTTATCACGAAGGAGTCGCAGGTGCTTACAGTTATTTCGAGACTCAAAGCGGCTGTAGGCGATTCTTTTAAACAGCAAGCTGTTTGTAAAGAAAGCGGCCGTATTGACAAAAAATACACTGTTAATGCCAGTTTCATATATTACTAGTTTCGGACTATTGATATCAGCTCAGCAAACAATCAACTGGTTGGTCGAATGATTAGATGATCAAAAGTCTGAGTTTAGAAATCTTCGAGGAAAACTGCTTTCTATCTTCATCACTTCCACACAGAATTCAGCGTACCGAAAAAACAAAATTAAAATTTGGAAAATAATGGGTTTCTATCACCATCTCTTTCTTTTTTCTTTCAGAAAGAAATTCTCTCGATATGAATTATATTTCAGATAGATGTAATTTAATTCTGCTTGTTTTTTTAATTAGAGTTGATTGAATGCAGTCGTAACTGTTTGTTCAACACATAGTAAGATATTGAGTACATTATGACTTATTTAAAAACAACGTCGTCTCCTTCCATCAAGAATAACACATCATTATTCAACAACGACACAATTCTAAATAACTGGCATCCCATATTAGAGATTGTTTATCGTATTGAAACTGTATTATTACCATGTCTATTAGGTATTGGTACAATTTGTAATATAATTACATTTCTCGTTATGAGACGCCGCCGAATGAGAGTGTCATCAACCTGTTTTTATATGGCCGTATTATCAATTACAGATACACTTGTTTTATGGACCGGTTGTCTAAATCAATGGTTTTACATCATGAAATTACCAACATTGGTTATACAATCGACATTTTCATGTAAAATTTTAACATTTCTATTTGTTACATTCGCCGATTTCAGGTAATTCTGTTTATTATCAATTTTCTGATGCTCTTAAACATCCTAGTTTGTTACAGACTTCGAATGAAGTGCACTATGTTTCTGACTCATCTGAAGCAGAACTACATTTCAATATTCATAAATATTCGATATTTTATGACATCTTGAAATATTAACACTTTTACCATCGTGTCTCTATGATTTTATTATTATGACGGTCGTTCTACCTAGAATCTAAGGTCTAGCAATTTAAAAATCAAGCAGGGTTTTCTTTTTGTTTTTTTGACCTGACTGGATAGAGCTCACCGAGTTACGTACGAAAATATATATATAAATTTTTGTTTAGTTGCTGAGAAAAAGAATTTTTTTAAAACTGGTGACAAAAACAAGGATATGTACTCGTATTTTTCAGTTTTCAACATCGATTTTCATCTTTTTTGCAAATTTAATTTTTATACTCAACTTTGTATCGGACCTCAGAAAAGCAGAGCTTTGGAATTTAAAAGAAAGAAAAAACATAAAAATTTGGCTTTGAAAATTTCACTAAAATTGACCTGTTGTCGAAAAACCAGTATTTACAAAGTCTTCGCCCAAAAATGACTATTGAAGACCTGGGATTGATATTTTCCTATGTAACTCGATGAGCTCTATCTAACCGTGTCAAAAAAACGAAAAGAAGGCCCTACTTGACTTTTAAATTGTCAGCACCTTATCAAAATTTATAGGGCGTTCTATGAATCATAAAATATCCATAAAAGGGTAAAAAACGCAACTTGCTATGGACAATTTCATGTGACTAGTTCAAGAAAATATCCTCTGAAGTGTAATTTTTTTCTTTTCGGATTTATGCATGAAGTACATCTACCTAGGTATAGACATTGAAAGTTTCAACTTAAAAGTGATTGTCTATTGCTGTAATAAGAAACTGCCTCACATAAATAAGATCCATGCAGAAATGATAGCGTCATTGTTTTAGAGTCCATCATGCTAAAATTTATCAACACTAGGTCAAATTCTTCACTTTCTGTGAGTGTTTGATGATTAGTTGAGACACCCGCACTCTCGTACAGATTTGAGATTCACCAATGGTATTATTCATCAACTATGTGAAGGCTACCTTAGCAGGAAAAAAATTCGTAGGCGTAATAATGACATTAAAATTATAATTAAATCAACATACAAGTCACATAATAATTTATTATTTTTACTAGTGTATGGGTTATTGTTTGTATGTCGTTCGAACGTTATTTTGCTGTCTCTCATCCATTAAGCGCATCTCAAACATGCACAGTCAAACGTGCAAAATTAGTATGTATCTAGAGAAAGAAAGATGATCATAAATATGGTAGATATGTGATCATATGATTATATTTTAGGTTTTAATCGGTATTTTATTATTTTTTTCATTCGTCGATGGTCATTTTCTATTTACATTAACTATTGTTAATCAAAGGCGTACGTCTGTGTGTATGCCTAAACCTTGGGCTGTTTATTTCGTTGAAAATGTTTTTGTTTATATTGATGCCTTAAAATATTCAGCATTGCCATTTATTATATTAATTGTTCTAAGTTTTTTAATTATAACAAAAGTATTTCGTGCCGAAGGTATTAGTGCAGAATTACAAAATTTAAAACAATTAAATCATAGTTCAAATGCAAAACCGTCTATTGTTAGTTCAGCCTCGCGAGTGGGTAGACGTGTCACATTTATGCTTCTATCAGTATCAATAGCATTTTGCGTATTTTCGGCACCCAGTAAGTCTCTTTTTCTCTCTTTATCTTTTTAAACTTAATTCTTCTCATTAAACCATCATTTCTCATTCTCTAGTGTCACTCATGCAGATCGTCCAATCATTTTATTCAGATCGTAAAACATCTCATTCAAATGCGGTACATAGATATCTAGCAATTGGAAAATCAGTGGCTGAAATATCACAATATATTAATCATAGCATTAATTTTTTTCTCTATGCCATAACAGGTCGAGTGTTTCGGTTAGAGTTTATTCGCTTATTTTTTCCTAATCGTCATTATTCTGCTAATAGCAAACGTTGTTCGATATATTCGTTTGATAATCGTTCAATTAGAGTACGACCAATAAGAAGAAATGGTTTACCATCTACGGCAACCGTCGTCGCCCAAAAACATCTTCATTTTTCATCAACAATACCATCTATTAACGAAGAAACAAATAATGGTAATCGACAACTATTAGTCGGAAAGAATAAAAAATATTCGTTATTTCAAAAAGTCAATAATGCATCCCCAAAATCACGTCGTTCATATGTTGTATCACAATTATGAAGAAGAAAAGTTCATCGAATTTCATTAACAACTTTAATTTTAGATCAATTTTTAGTGTTATATATCGACAGAAAAAATGACGAGATGGAATTAGTTTTATTAAAAACACGTCAAAAAGGTAACCGACCAATATACTGTGAAATATGTATGTTATTAAAGACGTATCGAGAGAGAAGAGTAGTACCAAAAACAAAACTAACAATAATAACGATAAACAAAACCACAGGAAAATTGAGCGATAACAATGAACATTCAAAAAAATGATTAAAACATTAGATAGGATTGAAAAGCTTGTCACCATCACTCTGTTGGAGCCAAAATGTGAAAATCGCAAAGGTAACCACAAAACACACATTTCCCTATCCACTTTTCACGGTTGAGGTCTTTTAAACACAAAGTACGGTTGACAGTGTCTTAAAATGACGTTTACAGCGCCCTAAATTTAAGATCCTGTAAACGACCGGAGGTCGACCCATGTTTACTTTGAGAGTATCGTTCGTTCAACTCAATGTCCCTTCAGAAAGCAGACAAATCCTGAATAAATGAATGATTTATTCACGAAAAGTGAGAGTCATCAAAGGTTCCTGACCTATAATAACCATGACTCGAGCCAAACAATAACAAAAAGAAATTATAAATAGAAAAATAAAAATAAAGTCGTTGGAAGTTTTCACAAAATATACATTGTTAATAGTATATTGTTGACATTTTTGTTGGTTGAATAATTCGTTAAAGTTGTACTTTTTATACCGTGATTCGTTTGAACATTTAAGCTTTTAAATTTTATTGTTGTTTTATGTGATATGTTACTCCTTTTTTTGTTCAGTACGAAAAAAATATTTTATCTATAAAATATTACCAATCAAGAGCCACGTTCGTACTCTGAACTATGGGTCAATACAAAATAAAAAAGTTCACTTATAACAAATACCGTATGGTACATGTAAAAAGTGAACCTTTTTTCTTTTTCTGTAATGTCCTGAACAGTTGTTTATTTTCCTAAATGTTTTTAAAATTTTGGGTCCAGTGGATCTTCCGATGAATCGAATCCTCTCTAAGACTTCATTGAAATATACTGTTCGAAAGACTGATTCAACAATTTTTCAGTCGTCATCGCACTTTTCAGGCGAATTTTTTAATTAATTTAACGGTAATAAACCGTTCTTTTAAAATTACTTTTAACTTATTGTTGGTTAAAAAAAGGAATGAGCATGGATGTTTTTTGAATAACGTTTGACAGAAAAGTGATAGAGGCTTGTGGTCTTCTCCAATCGGAAGGCGAACCTGATCGCATCTTTTATGACAAAAGTCATTTTGAAAATTTTCTTCCAAAGTAGGTGTTCCAGAGGATCTTTAGAAAACCATGTTACTACTAAAAAGCTCATAATAAAACTATTTTGATTTTTTCATGGATCCTAAATGTTCTCTTCGAAAAGGCAGTCATGCGCGAACTTAATTTTTAGCGGTTGGTATTGAACATCACTGGAGTCCCAAGTCTAGCATCCAGTGACTTGGAGTAACATTGAGATCGCATGAAACATACGTAATCGACCACGCTGAAGCTCCTGACAGTGTTTACCCAGTCAAAAAAAGGTTAGAAGTAAGAGTATGAAGGTGTACTACGTTTTCGGAGCACCGCTTTTGTAAAAAGCCACTAAGAGCACTCTAGAGTACTCTTTTTTGGAGTAGTTCAGAATACTACTCAAAAAAAAAGCGCTCCGGAGCGCTTTTTTTTCGCCTTTTTATAAAGTGTAGCCAAGGCACTGCAGAGCACTTCAAAAAAAGTGTAGTTTTTAGAGTACTCCTTTTGAGAACATGGAATTTATTATGTTCCAAAAAGAGTGCTCCATCATATTCCTCTTGATATTTTTTTTTGACTGGGTATTTTAGAAAAGAGTTCAAAAATGTGGTGAGAACAAAAACTGTTGTTTTCAACTCACAGTTCACTCAGAAAACGACACAATATTTTGAGTGAGTAATGTAGTAATCGTTTTTTTCCTCGGAACATACTTAATCATGGTAGTTTTGTAGTAACGTAGTTTTGATACTGAGTACGAATCTGGTATTCCTTCGTCAACTTAAGACTTTTCAGAGTTGACCATTTTTTTTTGCGATCCTCTCCATGGTTTTTTGCCAAAAACCGACTTTTGCTTGCTAAAATAGCAGACCATGGCGGTCTTCTATTAGAGGGGGAGAGGGTAGTGTCAGATCGTATAGCAGCTTAGCAGAGCTGGATGAGTCTGGACCTAACATTTTTCTGGAAGGCACGTACTTGAACTCGGACTGGAGAATTTTTTGAAGAATCAGACCCGGAACTTAAGTGTAGCGTACTTCGAGTACGTCCGATCGATTCAAGCTTTTGGATAAATGAATAGAGAATTTTGATCTTTCACTTTCGTTTTTCCTGTTCAAATTTTGGATCGTGCTTGGATGTATCATGCAAACCTGCTCATTCAATATTACTCACTCAAAATATTGCGATGACTATAGTATGTTATTTGCTAGTAAATGACAAAAATAAACCACAGCAATAAAAAAACAACAACTAAACATTATCAACTTGGACTCGATACCCCTCCGGAGTTGTTCAACCCTGCAGCTTAGGCTGAACGTACGTGGTTCAGCGATCTCGAAGTTGAAGAGAGATTCTAAAAAGTCTTAAGTTGACGAAGGAATACCAGATTCGTAATCAGCATCAAAGCTACCTATCAGCAAATATGTTTCAAGAAAAATCGACGTAACACTTGGTGAGCTCCCCCTGTAAGAACTAGTTTAAATGAATCGATATCTCGTGATTGAAGATTAACTGGTATAAACGTAGTCCTTGCTGGATTATACACGCAACGCAAAAGCTTTTTATTTTACAGACCGATGTGACTCGATTATTTTATATTTTTTGTTATCTAAACTACTACCTACTTGAAAATAGAGCAATTTCATACATTTTGCAAGAAATATTTTCTCTAGATTCAACGATAATGTCTAGTAGTCTAACGATTTTTATTACACACTGTTATGAAAAAATGTCATACAAAAAATAATGATTTCAAAAAATAAATCTCAGATAAAACAATCAAAGAAGTTTTTGGAACACGCACCGGGCATGTTTAGACGAGAGAAAGACAAATAGATGTGAATACAAGTTTAAAAAAGAACAGTTAAGTCGTTGGATTTATTTCAACAATGCTGACCTCATTTTTCTCGAAATTACTCGTGAGAAAAATCAGAATGACATTTTTGTTAGGGAATCAATGTTCCATGTTAGAGTAGCCCTAAGAGTTACATTATACTTATTTGACCCGATAAATTTGTCTTTTATTCTAGACTGTTCAATACGAAATTGACAAAAGAACATTTTCTTTGTGCAGAAATGAATAATATAAATCGTGCATTCGATAAACAATCGGAAAAGGTGTTTATTTTGACAGTGTTCGAAATACAGTATGTTCTCGATTTTTACTATTTTGTTAGAAATTTTATTATTTTAGAACTATCTAGAATAGAACTGTCGGTTGAATTTTTGATGGATAATATTGCTACCTATTAACCCTTTACACCCGCCGGTCCCTTCCAAGGGGCGTTGATATAATAGATTTATAAAAAGAACGGATCATCAGCCAAAAAGCTAGATTATTACTAATGTAAGACAATAGAGTAGCCTAGCGTTTGATTGAAAGAAGAAAGAAAAATTTCCATCTTAATCCGATATTTTGAATTTTAAAATTGAATGAAGTTCAGAAATGAATTTTTGTTTTTAAATATTTTCTATATTTGTAGCCACTAAATCATTTTCTAATTTTGTAGTTGATAGTTTTGGTTGGATGGATGTACTTTATAATGAAATCAAAGAAGAAATTTTTGTAGCATTCTTCTTTGCGTAAAGGCGCTATGAATTCACTGTCCCTTGGAAGGGACATTCGGGTGTAATGACATGAAAAGTGAATTTTTTTATCTTAACATCTTAACGTGGATCATTTTGTGATCACTCGCTACACATCTGAAGATGAATGAATGAAGAAAAAAGATGTAACCAGTACTATTGTGGCGTCGCCGCCAAATGTAAATACGTTTTTCTCTGATCGATATAAAAAATCCATCTAACGAGGGAACTGCCCCAAGTGTCCGCTCGCTTTTTTGTTGAAATCTAGTGGAGAATAGGTTATCGACTATGCTGATTCCGAATATGACAATGGTTTTTGCTGCTAGGCCTTC